ACAGTACGGGAACACTGCGATGTCTGACAACTAAGCAAGGCACAATAAACAACGCTCGTTGTTACTCCAGCGAATGAAGTATAATGTGAATGAAACAGTTCTGACAAATCTTGTTGACGATTTCACTATAAATTCATGGGTTTTATTATTAGCTCGTTCAATTTTTGAATCGTTTTTTGGATGTATTCTTCCATTAAGATATGTATTGCCTTTTTGAGGAGGTTGTGTTGAATTTAAGGCATCCGCTGGCATCTGGACAACAAAATTGTTTGCTCCAAGAATGTGCCTAAATACACTATATTCCCTATTGTTGAGTTTTCAGAGGGAGCGCAATGATGCTTACTATAGTGGAGTTAGCATGGGTCCCACTCAGAGGGATCAGCTACTCGATCCATTCTTTTATGAGGCCTTTATTTCTATGAAAGAGAAGATAGCTAGCAAGGACAAGGAGATCACCGCTTTGAAGGAATCCGTCAAAGCCCTTGAAAGTGGCAAAGATTGGTTTGTTTGTTTTTTGACTTAATCCCCAAGAATTTTTTAAACTTTCTCATGTGTTCATCCAAAATTTTAGTCCAAAAGTTTAGTTCCGTACCAATATCCCAATAAACATTTCTTTTAGGACGTATTAAACATCATAGCAGCCTCCTTGATGAGTTTTCAAGCTAGGGCAGAAAGCGACTTTTTCTCTTTTCGCTGCGGGAACCCCGGGTCCAACGCTGATCGGGAGTGGATCCGGGTTCCGGTTGACGGACTACTTGAACTCAGCCCTTTACCGCCTCTGCGCTCTCTAGCGGGTCCCTCTCCTCTCCAAGGCTTAGTCCTAGGGCATTCTCTAATCGTCTGTGCTCTAGCCATCGCGGCAGGACCATTGAGGAAAAATCAAGTAGTCCGTAAACCCCGCGAAAACGGAAAAGTCGCTCTCTTTCTAGCGAACCCCACCCTTGAAGCTACAGTTCCGGGCATGTCTTAGATGTTCAAGAGTTTCTCATTTCCACACCTGCCCCTTCATTCCAGTAGGGTGTGTGGACTTCGTAATGTTGCCTAATGCCTGAGGCAGGATTTGACAAGTTGGCGTATTATGAGTAGAGCGCAATTCTTAATTGCTGTATGCTCGTATTACAGTTAGATGTTAGCCAAATTTGGGCACCCCTTCTTGTAACCGATTTGTCTATTCTATACATTACTTGAGTTATGTATATTCAGTAAATTCCCCTCCCTCATTCAGCTCCTCCTGCGACGTCACAAGAATGCTGCCCGTGAAGAAATTGCTGGGATATGTTGACCAAGAGATGCAACGAAAAGTTAGGGACCTGGAGAATCGACTTGCTCTAGCACATGCAGCTCTTCGCGCCATCAGAAAAGAAAAGAAAGGTGATTCTTGATCCATTCAAAAAGAGCAAACCTCATCATTTCAAAATTTCTGCGGTTGGCTGCCAACATTGTGATACAAAACAAACGAGCAGGAGGATCTAAATCTTTTTTCGGGATGCGCCGCGTACTGGCTTTCCACGCAATATCGTGCATTTACCTATACAGTGATTTCCACGGCAACATAATGTCGTTGTATAAGTTTTTATCCTCTTAGACAATTTCGATACTCGTTTTGTTTTCTTTATTCTACTACTCAGCCCATTTGGATTCTTCGAAGGCTTGTTTAGCCGAAGCAGATTGGCTCCCATATCCTGCTCGCGGTAAGAAGCGCCGTTTGCTGTAAACCACTACCACTTCCGCGACATCACGAGACGCCTTCAATTGATATCATAGGTTTACGGTTAAGATATGTAATTGCTAACAATTGTAATTGCTTAAGGCCGTCCGCTTCATTGGAAGATTTTCTTCGGGAGTACCTCGATAAAGCGCCTCTATGAAATTAGTATAGTTCCGTGGTTTTACTCAAGAGATCTAATTTTACTTTTACCAAATTATAGATCATGCTCATGAAATTGCCGAGAGGGATGCCAAAATAGCAGAACTAGAGAAGGAGCTGTTCAACCTTCGCAATGAAATGGCCGAAGAGGCTATTTCGGAGCATACTGAATTGGAACCAGAGGAAGAGGTCAAGGCTGATGCCGAGACGGACGCTGAGGCTGACCAGGTGGAACAGAAGCCTGTAGTCGAGGACGAAGACGACGATGTGGTTGTGCTGGACGATGTAGGTGCTTGAAATGTTTCTGTGATTTCGCCTCCTCATTCATGTAAACTTTCATCCGTGTGGGAACTATTTCCTGCTAAAAATCAGGGGGAATTTTCAGCGTGGGTTTCCCTTGGGCATTTCCTTTTATTAGTAATCATGTCGTTCCTAGTCCTGGGAATTTTTGAGTGCTGCAATCTTATTTTTCTCTACACTTTTAACGGGGCGTAATTTCAAATGAGGTTTCACTAGGCTCAACCCTCTGCACTGGTGATTGACACAAAAGTGACGATAAGTTCGTTTAGAAAAGGTTTAAACCTTGTTGAGTTATTAAAAAAGTTAAAAATTGTTAAACGTCAACATTCACAACAATTTCCTTTGAATGATTCATTAGCTAATTTAAAGCTAAATTTTCCGAACTATTTATAGCTCATTATTGTAGTTTTCGTTGTTTGAAAAGAGCAATCAAGTCAATTAATTTTAAATATTTCACGATAGAGAATCTCTCCATCCTCTTATGTTTGCTATCATCTGCTTGTTTACATGTTTCTGTGAGTCCCTTCCACCGCATCAGGGCGTCCTATAAATATAAGGCTCAGTTGCGCCCTACCTTTCTTGTGCAAATTCGTTTGTTTTCTATGATGACTTAAACATCGACTCGTCTAATCATTACCTCGTCCTTCACAATGAAAGAGTTTAATTTATTCGTAGATCCTTCCAATAAATAGATCTCACAGCTAGTCCTCTGTATTGTTTTCTAGTTCCTATACTGCCTTCGTTGAAACTGCAGAAGAAAACCGTTGTCTCTTTGATGATTTTTCGATATATGGCATTTGCGTGGGTGGGTTAGGTTTTCAATTAACCATCATTTGGTATCCAAGTAGGCAGGGTATGAGCGTTTTTTTTTCTTACTATTATAGTACGTAGAATAACGTTGAGATCTCGGTCAGACTCGGCGATTGCAACGCGATGGACTAGCGACCGAGCGACGCGATCGCTCCATCGCTCCAAGGGGCACAGTTCCGGATACCACCTTATGGATCCGCCAATCTTTCTTAAATCACTCTAACGCTGCTGCAGCACGGTGTTGTGGTATAAATGCCTGTTGACGTTGTTGGAATGGATGGGATTCGATCACATCTTTACATGTGCAACACATTGTTTATCGCTACACTTCTTTCACTTCGAGAAGTGGGGTAAAAAAGAATAAAGCATCGGCGACAAATCCATCCCTTTAGAGATGCGCCACGCGTTTTAGTTCTTTCCGGATCGCAGTGGCTTTTCAAACGCTACATACAATGATATGATTTACGAGGATTAGCCGACGTACAAGTCAGTGTTTTAGTCCTCCCATACGAATCTGGTTTAAATTCACCATCCCAGAGAGATGGAAAGTTCGGCTGATGTGTGCAGTGTGTACGATCCAGGGTTTAATCCCGGAACTATGCGCGATCGAAGCGTTGGCAATCACGAATACACCGCTACAGTCTTGAAGTAGGGTCGTAAGCGT